AGTGGTCCCTGCTCTCATAGAACTTTGTGGAGGTAGAACTTACTTGGATAAAGAAGGAACAACATAATATATATTTACATATAGTGATAAAGGCTATAAATAAAATTAACGGAGGGTAAAGAGATTGAGAGTAAAAGAAATGGTGCTATTTTCAATAGATGGGTGAGAACAGCCTTCTCTGAGAAGGTAATATTGAGCAGAGACATGAATAAAGTGGAGCGAAATGTAGAATTGATGGCAGTATTTTTTTGCTGTGCTTGAGAAGCAATGGAAGTATAGTCTGGCTAGAGTAGAAAGGTGAAGGGGGAGAGCAGAAGGAATGAGGTAAGAGAGAGTTATGCAGACTATGAAGAAGGGTTTTGGATTTCATTTAAAGTGTGATGATATACTATTGGAAAGATGAGACTGGGGGGAGCTATAATCTCATTTATGTTTTAGAAGTATTATTTTGGCTGTTTTGTACAGAATAAACAGTTTTCAGGCAAGAGAGTAAGCAGGAAGACTGAATAATGACAAACACTATCATCTGGTTACTTGAAATATATCCAGTAATACTTTAATAATTTTTAACACAAGTCACTCACTAATTTTAAACCAAGAATGGAGAGGTTCTGGTATGTATATGACTCTGTTTTCAGTTCCGGTCTTTCTCAGAGATGAGTAATTTAATGAAGGTCACTGAGAACGTAAATCCTAGCCCATTAGGATTAACATAATTTAGTGTCTTTCAAAGTTGGTTTCCATTTGCTTAAAAATTTTCCTCCTGATTAAAACTGGTAAAAATGTTCTGTATAGAAATTTTAGAAATTAAAGAAAAGGAAAACAAATCATTTGTAATCTTATGACCTAGAAATACTTTTAAAATGAACTCTTGATAGTTAATTATCTTTACATTTCTGGAAGATTGCTATTTCTACTTCTCTTTTATAAATGAGAACATAGAAGCCCACACGGGCTTTAATGACTTTTTCAGAATCACCAAAGTAGTTATTGTCAGATTCTTACTGCTCAGTTGAGGTTCTCAGGCAGCCCCTGAATAGAGGGAGAACGGCGTTAGCCAATTATCAAGATGTGGAACAGTGAGGTAAGTATAGCCTGATAAGGAAAATTAATAGACAAAACTACAATCATTTTCCCCTTTCTATTCTTTGTAGGCCAGTGTTCTTAGATCAGATTGCAACATTTGATCACTGTGGGCCATATATTTCCCTAGGAAAAGAAATTTCCCCCATGAGATTTATAACAAACCTTACTAGGTAGAAGTGTCCATTTGTTCACTGTGTGTATCAAATTTTATTTGCATAGAACACTGTGAACTTTCTACCAGAAAAAGAATAATTCACCTCTAATCTAACTTTCCTAATAAGATAATCTTTTGTTGTTTTAAGCCTCTGTCTACACTTCTCTTTCTGAGCTAGATTTTTGTATGAGTTTTGTTTTCTGGCTTTATTTTAATTTTTTAAGATCTCATTTTATAATTTTATATCTGTGACAGAGACAAGTATACTTTCCTTTACAGTGTATATCCCTCATTACGATTAAATAAGACAATATTTTGTTCTGGACAAGGTAATGTGGACAGAAGCATTTAAGAGCCAGAATGCTCCTTCTGTCCTTCTCTTCCCTGTCATGGCAGCCATCAGTTGAGAGAGAGGGAGACTATATCCTGAGTTAGCATAGAGGCCCTGCCAACTTACATGGAACTTTGTGTGAGCAAGAAGTGATCTTTTATTGTGTTAGGTCTTTAATATTTTGGGAGCTTTGTTACTACAGCATTGCCTAGCAATCTTCTATATTATTTTTAATGTATGTTAACATGTATATAGCTTATAACTATATAGTGGTGATGATGGCATACTTAGCATAGCATAGAAAAACTTCCATGATCTAATTCCTATCTCCAACATTATTTCTCACAATATTCATACATCTAAATTTATACTCATATTTTTTCCAGATGAACCACAATACACTGCCTCACACCAATGTCTTTGCACACACTGTTTTCTCTACTAGAATTCACTTTTCTCCTACTTATCAGATATATATGCATTTTCATATTCCAGATCGCAGTCACTTTCCCAGGAAAGGCTTCCCTGATTTTCTCCATTGTCTTTATACTTTTGGAGTTTTTCATTTCAAATTTATTTACCTTCATCTCTGTCATTAATAGTAAATTATAAACTTGCAATATAGTCATTTCTTATAACGTATAAAGGGGACATAAATAAATACGTGTTAAATGAATGCCCTACTTTTAAACAGAGAGCAGTTTAAATCTTTATGGGTTAATACTGTCCTGAAAATTAGTTGACAGTCAGCTGAGAATATGATAGGTGACCTTTTGTATATATTTGGGGCATTAGGAAGAAAAAGAAAATGAGAGAGCAGGAAGAAGAAATTCCATCACTTAAAGTCTTGCTGTGATCCAGTCAAGGCTCCCATAGTAATGGTCACATTCTGCGTTCATTTGTCATATAACAGAATGTGTTTGCACTTTCCCTTTTTTCTTTTTTTTTCCCCCAGATATTGCATTAGATTTTCTCTGGCCCCTCCCAAGATATAATTGATATACAACATTGTATTAGTTTTAGTTATACAATATAATGATTCGATATTTGTACATAGTGTGTAATGATTACCGCAGTAAGTCTAGTTAACTTCCATTACCATGTATAGTTACAAGTTTTTTCCATGTGAAAAAAAGATCTACTTTCTTAGAAACTTTTAAATATGCAATTCAGCATCATTAACTGTAGTCACCGTGCTATACATTACACCTCCAGTGATAGTTCTCTTAGTCCTCCATTTTGCTATCCGACATTGCTTGATATTATGAATACACCTCAGAGTTGGTAATATTCAAGAGGTTTTTTTTGTTTCTTTGTTAGTTTGTTCTGCTTTTCAATGTAAAATAGAGCACGTGTTAAAAATTAAAATGTGTAGGTACAGATTAAAGATCAAATTCTCACGTACCCACTACCTAGGTCAAAAATAGAACATTATCATAGTCCAGAAGCCCCTTATGTACCCCTCCCTGATGACATTTCCTTCTCATCTGAAATAATCACCATCCTGAATTTTATAGAAATCATTTTTTTGCTTTTTTCTTGTTTTCATCATATATACCTTAACTCCAAAATACAATGTTAAGTTTGCCTGTTTTAAAACTTTATAGTAAATGGAGTCATACCACATGTACTTTTCTGTGTCATGATCTTTTTTGTGCAAGATGATTTTTGAGATTCATCCATGTTGATGTATATAGTAATACTTCATTTATTTCCACTGCTATTATAATAGCGTATTGAATTAACATACTCTAATGTACTTATTCTATTTATGAACATTTGGCTTGTGTCAAGAGTTTTGCTATTATAAACAGTGCTGCTATAACGTTTCTCATACATGTCCTATGCAAGAATTTATCTGTGGTATCTACATAGTAGTAGAATTGCTAGGACATAGAATGTGCTCATGTTAAATTTTATAAGGTAATACCAACTGTTCTCCAAAGTAATCATAGCTGTATTTTCTCCCACCGGCAGAGCGGGGCATTCCTCACTGCTCTGAGTCCTCCCTCACACTTGGTATTATTCAACTTAAAAAATCGATTTTGCCCAGTCTGGTGGTGAGAAATGGTACTCCCTATAGATTTGAATGGACATGTCCCTAATTTCTAGTGAGGTTGGATCTTTTCATATGTTAAGGTTGTATGCTTTTGTTCCTTCTGTGAAATTACTGTTTACTTCTGATCTTCAGCTTTCAAGTAGTTGTCAACTTTTCCTTTTTTATTCACAGGAGTTTTAAAAATATATTCCTGATACTAATAATTTGCCAACTAAATGCACTTTAAATATCTTCCTAATGACTAATTGTATATTCAAGGTGAGGGGGAAGGAGTATAGAAAATTATTCCCAGGTGTCTGGTTTGGGCGAGAGTAGATAATCGTGTCATTAAATTAGGACATACAATGGAGGAGGAGAAGTAGATCTGGGAGAGAGGGGAATTAATTTATTTTGGAGTTTGATGTTCCTATGGTATATCCAGGTGGAGATATCTCATAGAAAGTTGACCGTCAGAGTCTGAAGCTCAGGACACATCAGTTACACCAAATCAGTCCTGAAGGAATTTGTATGATGGGCCTTTCAGGGGAGTATGGTTAGAAGGAATGTAATTTTCAAACGCATTTGTTCTTTACCCACCCCAGCCTCTCTAGGCTATGAATCCTCCAATTGAAGCTTCTTATGAAATAAATATCCCAGTCAAATGACCCACCAGAAACTTCATCATAGTTTTAATTACTTTATTACTTTCTTGGTTTCTCAACAGTTAAATAACCTTTCTTAATATTTCCAGGAGAGCACACCATTTTTATTTTGAAAAACATACAGCATATTTGTCTTATATGACATGCAAAGAAAATACCTAGATTTTAAAATTTTTTGCCATGCTCATTCATGTGTAGTACTTAATTACACAAGTTATTTCATAAACACTGAAAACAATGTAAGAAACATACATTTAAGAATTCTGCTTTGTATAGTTTTTCATTAAATGGTACTATTTTCACATACATTTTCAGGCATTTCTAGCTTCTGTGTATTTTGACTATATAATATAACCACTAGAAGAATCTGAGCCCCTGGGGAGGATGGCAGGTAGGAGTGTGCAGGAAAGATCTGTCTTTAAAAAGCAGATTGTATTATCATTTTGATTGCATTCCTTTTAGTTATTTGAGATTCTAAGAACTCTGGTAAACCCAGAGGTGAAAAGATCTCTCAGTAAGCTTTAGAAGGTAGGAAAGGTGAGTAAAGCAGGGCTAGGACGTGGCACTTTCACTAAGGACCTGAGCATAGCTTATGGTATAGTACCGGGGCAGAGTTACTACTGAACCCCTCAGGGTGATGAACCACCCACTTCCTTGCAGGAGTTATAGCAGCTGATTTGGTGACTGTGGTTGGTCACCTTTTAGGAGAACTACAATCCAGAGACAATTTGACTTAACATATACTCTGCATAAGAAAACGATGGTCCATCCTTATCAGTAGTGCAGTGGTGATGCTTTTCTCTGGGTTCAAGGTCTATTAGACCTGTAAGAAGAGAAAGAAGGTGTAAAAATGTGAAACACTCAACTCGGGCTTCTGTCTTGGTTCTACTTGAAATTTACTGAATTCATTGATAACCCCAAGCCCTCAGGGGAAGTGTGTGGTAAGCTTGCCTGCTGCTATACAATCGCTGTGGATTACAGGTGCTGCTTTTTTAAGGCCAGGAAAGGCTTGGGGCAAGTTTGGCAGCTTTGCTTGAATAGTTATATCTCTGCCTCAAGGATAAAATAACTTACTGACACTTTCAGACATGTAGTCAGAGTAACTTTTGATAATACAGTGATGGCACCCTAGTGTATAAATAACTGAAGCTAGAGGAGAGGGCATGGTGCTAACACACTTCTAAGCAGGGATCCCATAGCAAAGCGCAATGCAACTATTTCTAACTTGCCAAGAATGACATTTCTTCAAGAGCAATTTTTCTGCAGGCAACAGCAAACCTACCTTTTATTGCGAAGTACTTTCAGTATATTCTGCATGATCTTAGACTCTGGATTCATACATCTTTTTTCCCCATTTTTCATTGTGACACTATAGAAGTAAGAAGGAATGAAAACATTTAAAATAATGTTGGACCAATAAACTGATGGCATATACAGTTTCTAAGTCAGACACTTAAGTTTCACTCTACATGTTTCCCCTTGCTATATTTGCTATATAGAAGTCTTAGAATCCTCCCAAACACTTTACTGATCTTTTATGATCAATAAGTATTCTTATGATTACAGCCAGGGAGATAATCAGCAGATGGTATTATACTCACATAATCTCAACACGTGGACAAGATTGACTTGCAGGAAACACTTCAAGTTTTTCTAAGGAACTTAGAGGAACACGTTTATCACTAACACTGATGCAGGTACAGCGTGTAGTTCTAGAGAGAGAGATTCCTGCAGAAGAGAGGTGGGCACAGCAGGGCAGGTGAGCTCAGTGGTCTTTTCCGGCGTTTCATGTGGATTAGGTGGTGCTTAGCGGAACCTATATCCCCCTGTCATCACATCATCTGATGATGCCATTATAAAACAGTTCTTAGGGATTATTTAGTTGATTATCTGAAAGAACGTAATTACACCTCATTGATTGTATGGTCATACCTAAAGTCACAGTTCATATGGCTAATTAAGATAAGTTAATTAAGGGGGTGTCTGTGTCATCTTCTCTCTTCTCATTCCTTCACATTTTCTGTCTGTCCTCCCTTTTCCCTTTCCTCTTCTGCTCCCACCTCCTCCTCTCATTTATTCCACTTGCTTCTCTTACTCTAAACTCTGACGAGATGGAATCTCTGCTCACTTACCATTCATTCATAGGCAGGCTGTAAAACTTTTGCAAATACCCTATTTCTGTATTTGTAGAATTTATACCCAGTTCTATTTCTGAACTTACAAATTAAATATCCCTTGATGCTCCTTACCTTGAGCTCCACCCAGAGTCAGAAGGATAAGGCAGAAAATAAGAAGAGCACTTTGGTTCATGGTGCTGTGACTGGAGGTTCCTTTGCAGTAGGTTAGGAATGCCTAAGCAGTTGAGGGATGTCTGAGAAAACATGGGGCTAGGATGCAGTATTTATTTGTAAGGGCACTTCCTCCCTAACTCCGATTGGATAACATTACAGTTTACTCAGCAAAACCTGCTGTCTGTTCTTTGGGGAAGTCCCATGCTGCAGACGTGAAAGTATCATTTATTTTTATTGTGGGTGAGCTATGGAATTTCCCTCTCTCCCCCTTTTTTATTTATAGGAGAAAGTAAGTTTCACTTTCCAAATCATGAACTGTTTCTTGAAAATCAGAACTCCATTGCATATAGAAATTATATTTTAAAATAGATCTTTGATTCTCATATTTAACCTCCTGCAAAATAAAAATATCAACTTACTCCTCAAGTCAAAGCGCTAAATATAGTTTTTAAATGAATATATCTTAATATTGTGTTTTGAGTTCATCTTAATTTGCAGTACTAAGGCATTATTAGGAATATCTTTTATTAACTTTTTGGGTTTAAGGGTTGTCATTTACTTTCTCATTTTATCCCTGTCAAAGCCTTGTAAGAAGTTAATTTCATTTCATATATAGAAAAATAATCTTAGAGGTTAGGTAAGTGTGTTATATCATACAGAAATTGCCATACATTTATTCTACCCCTGATGTTTTTTCTCAACATTTATTTTAAACTTCTCTAATTATTGTCAGAGGCTAAATAATTTTTTTACTAACTTTATTTTTTATTTAATCCATATTGTATTTTTTCCATTATCATTTAGTCCTCTTATACTCCCCCTGGCAATCACCAGGTAATTTTAAAAAATTTCTTTAAGCAGTTTTTAAAAATTCCTCAGTAATTTCAATTTTTAAAATCTTTTGTAAGTAAGTCTAATTTTTGGAAATAGTAGTTTAGCCAGGTGTTGTCCTTTAATGAAATACTATAAACTAATAGGTTTGGTCTTCTTGGGGAAGGTCAAAGATATGGAACTGTCAAGATTCAAAGAATTCCAGAAATGTTTTGGCCACTCTTAGTATCATTAGAATAAGTGAATAGTCTCCAACATAACCATTTGGAGGGAACACAGTACTCATTTGGATATTTAATTTCTGGTGTGTTAACCAAAAAGGTTATGTATTGCTGTCAGCCCTTGAACAAAAACATCATTAACATCGAGAATGGAGTGAGAAAGGGATTCATAGCTATAAAAGGGTTATTGCAAAAACAAAGGATGTTTTTTGAAGAAGTAAATCTAAAAATGGTGCATGAGTAGAGACAGACCCTGGGAGAACAGGATGGAAAGAGAGGTGGATTTAATGTGGATCCAGCTCCCAAGTGCAAAAGGAGAAGGAAAAAAAGTATTAGTCATTGAACTGGTAACAGTGGTAACTGAAATTAGCACAATCGCAACTGGATGACAGTAACAAAACTTGGTGTCTTGTCTTAGCATTGATACTGGGCTGATGATTCACAGCAGACGATTTCAGTAGGAAGGCGGCGGTACCCATATAATATAATGTGTTGGGCCTAATAGTGACTTTCACCAGTATCTAAGTTTAATTGTGTTCTTTGCAAGGGATTGGTAATAGGGGATCCAAAATGAAATACTGTTCTAAATGCAGGCATCTGCCTGCAATGGGAAATCTGATGCAGGTGATACTTGGAATCTAGGGAAATATCTGGGAGGTCTTTTCATAATTAGGTAGGCCACAACAATGTAGAGATAGGCCAGGGAAAGGCAAGATTTTAGGCTAGTGTAGGAGTAGGCCACTGTATCTGTCAGATTCTGACCCAAAACTCAGCAAAGAGGCCAAGCCTATATCCACAGATGGGGCACACATAAGACTTGGAACCTCAAACGCAGGACCGTCATCACAACAGTGAATGAGTTATTGCTTGGGGCAGGCAGAAATTGCTGGAGTGCTCCATTCCCATCAGTTTGGTCCAAGGACTGGAACAGAGCTAAGCTTTCAAATAGGTGAGTCAGTGGACTTAGCTGTGGGAAACTGGAAACACAAAAGGAAGGGAAATGAGTCAGGGATTGAGAGAACGCAGAAGACTTGCACCAACAGAGTCTTTCTTCTGATGAGGGAAAGGCTATGAGCAAGTGACATGGAGGAGCCCTCCCAGTCACTGTTAGTGCAGAATAAACACTGGACTATGAGCCCTGGCTGGTGTGACACAGTGGATTGAGTGTTGGCCTGTGAACCAAAGGGTTGCCGGTTTGGTTCCCCGTCAGGGCACATGCCTGGGTTGCAGGCCAGGTCCCCAGTACAGGGTGCATGAGAGGCAACCACACATTAATGTTTCTCCCCCTGTCTTTCTCTTTCCCTTCCCCTCTCTCTAAAAATATATTTTAAAAAATATTGAAAAACAAAAACAAAACTGGACTATGAACCCTGACAAGTATGATAATTGAGTTTTGTTCCACAAAGTGAAAAGTCTCTTGTTTGATTCCTGGTCAGGGCAGATGCCTGGGTTGCAGCTTTGGTCCCCACTTGGGGCACATACAAAAGGCAACCAACTGATGTTTCTCTCCCCCCTTTCTCCCTCTTTTCCCCTCTCTCTAAAAATAAATCAATAAAATCTTTAAAAATATATCATTAAAAAAAATTGGACTATTAGTAAAAATGCCAAAAATTTTCAGAGAAATGTCTGACATCATGGATGGAAGAGGCTCTGAATAGTTCAACATTAAACAATAAAAAAGATACAAGGTGATAATTTTGCTTTTGTTAGTATCTAAATTCTCAGCTAAGATGTTGTCTGTATAAGCAAAGTAAATAGGAGAGTTGAGGCAGATACCTGCTAAGTGGACTATTTAGATATTAACCTATTATTGAGAGAAATTTTTTACTCATTTATTTGATTTTTACTAAATAGTGCAGAGCATTAACTGTGGGTGAGGAAGTATTTGAAGGGCTTTATGAATATTGACTTATTTAAATCTTAAATAATGATTCATTTATCCCAGTAACTCTAGAGTCCATGTTCTCAACAACTTTGTTATACTGTCGCTCCAGAGAAAACATTGTTCTTGATTTGGATTTCTGATTTTCATTCTATCTGTCTTAATTGGCTGAAGCCATCTTTGAGATTATTTTGGTGCATTGTTGATAAACCCCTAGAAAAGGTCTAAAATGGATCTTACACTGAACTTCATACTAAAACAAAAATGCTGTGGTATATATATATGTTATACACATATGTATAGAGATATATACATGTTAGCCAGCCAATGATCACTTAGATACACATTTATTTACTTAATTTTTTTGGGGGGGGAGTTTCTTTTTTATTGTTCAATTACAGTTGTCCCCTGTCCCCCTCTTTAGTGTCCCCCACCCTGTGCACCCCACCTCCCACATTCAATTCCCCACACTCCCTGCCCCCCGCCTCCCCAACTCTAGGGATAAATATACAAAGCTTCTTAATTACTTACTGGAGGGTCTCTGTAATTATGCTTTGAATGAATGAAGGATGCAGATCTCTTCAGTGCATATTACATATATGGCCGTGGATGGTGTTGTACGGAGAGGAATAAGGAGAGTAGGAGAGTTGTACTTATTCTCATCAGTGTCTGTGTACTTCGTGTATGGGACCAAGCTAATTTCACAGGATACTAGGAGGCATAAGATACCATGTCTGTCTTTGATGGGCTTTCATTCTAATTGTAAAGACCAACAAATATGAAATAATAAATATCAATAAGATAAACTGTGTGGTCAGTGCTGTGTGAATGACTTATAGACAATAATATTGGCTTCATAGGAGAGTGTACTCATGAAAACCAGGGGTGCACTTCAAAGTGTGAATTGTACTTAAACAAGTGGACAGAAAGGGAAAGCAATTAGAGAAATATCACAAAAAAGTGGTATAAAGGAATGTCAGCAAACCAGTCAGGCAGACTGGTAGAGTCTCTTACGGATAGGATCTGGGCCTCAGTTTTACAGGTCCAGAAAAACTCCCCTTTTTCCTAACACAGAGTAAACATGTTCTCAAAGAGTTAATTCTGCTAACCAAATCTACAGGAGACAAAGATGCAAACTAAAAAGATAATTTATTCATTTATAATGAGCATATCTCAGTGGCTGGGATGATTGGGTCACGTATCTATTCCAGGGGTCCCCAACCGCTGGACCACGGACCAGTACAGGTCCATGGCCTGTTAGGAACCTTGCTGCACAGCAGGAAGCAATTGGCAGGCAGGCAAGCGAAACTTCACTGGCTTTACTGCCTGAGCTTCGCCTCCTGTCTCCATCCCCCTTCTGTGCATGAACGAATTGTCTTCCATGAAAGAGGTCCCTGGTGCCAAAAATGTTGGGAACCATGGTGGTAACCAGTCTGGGTACCTGGGAAGTTGGATTAGTAATTAGAATATTGCCTGGTGAGCATAGAATTAAAACAAAGGAGTCTTCTCTTCTTGTTTGGAATGGGGATCTGCTCAGGGAGAAACTGTATAAATGTGATCAATGTGGAGAAGAATTCAGGAAAAAAAATCAAATTTTTAGAGACAGTAGCAAGCCAACTATTACATGTTACATACACAGCCAACCCTAACATGAATCATTTAAATAAAAGTCTAATTATAACTCTTTTCAAAGTGATATTTTTCTCAATTTTTGCAAGGCTTTTGACATACTTGGTTTCTTAGTATTCACTGATTTGAGTCTAGTTTTGGAAGCTAACAGGAGACTAGGAAGTATCCCATCTTTAGTTTCAGTTTCCAATGCTGTTGGTTAATCTTTAAGCCTCTAAACTTGGTGCCAGACCATGAGAAAGAATGTGCCCAGAGAGACTTGTTACAGACCCAGGGGAAAAAAGTGTTTTCTGAGAAGCTAATGTGCTTAGAAGAAATTTCCTAAAAAGTGATAGGAGGAGTTCAGTAATTTCTGTAGACTGGGAATTTCCTAAGCAGATGTATAATAATGCTCTTTGGAATGAATGGGAGAAGAGGACGGAGTTTTCTCTCTCATAGTTTAAATTGAGCTTCCACAAGATTCACTTAGCTTACAGTGCCTAGTAATAATACTGGTTACATACCTTTGAATTAACCCTTCATAGCCAGTCTGAGCAA